CCAGAGGGAACCTGAAAATTCAAAAGATGCTGTTGGTTGTCATGAGGCTCCCACGGCATTCTAAAGATAGATGCCTGAGCGGTCCGAAGACTGGCACTCAGATGAGCTTCATAAGCCGAATCTGAAGCAATCTTGGGTTTCTTCACAGGATTGTGTTCAAGATCCATGGCCAGTGCTGAAGTCCCCGTTTCCCCCACTCACAAGAGGACAAAGCACTAGCGCCAAGCTCGGGACGCGCTACCTGAGCATCCACCGTTCCCGTTCCCGGAGTACTCAGTCCCTTTCCCCGCAGGTACTCGGTCCCTTTCCCCAAGTACTAGGTACTAAGCTTCAGCTCCCCACGCCCCTAGTCGAGCCACTGCCCGCTCCCACCTTGAGTAGCAATGCATCGAAGAAAATTTCTCAAGCAAAGTTTCAAGCATCTCAAGCAAACTTTCAGAAAGAAAATTAACCTACATTGCTAAGGTGGGGGGGGCAACCGGCAGCACACAGGTTAGGGCTTAGGGTTTAAGTTTTCTTCGCTCGCTGCCAAGGCAGCTCGTTGGAACGCAAAAAGGTACAAGCTAGCATCGCAGGCTCGCAAGCAGAAGTACTGTCAGCGGATGTCCTCTTCGTGTCCATGCAGGGTCGTTGCTTAAAGGCTTAGAAGCTTAGGGCCTTGGTTCCTGACTTGCCAAGCGTATGGCTCTGGTTTTGCAAGCACAGCATGGGGAAACTCTGTCACGATGATTTGCTGCAGAGGCAACAGCGGTGACAGATGGAAGAAAGATCTCACCTTGCACTGCTGGGGTCTGCAGGTGCAGGACTGCCTGCACTCACTACGGCACATTCGAGTCTCACGGCCCCATCCTACAGGCGTCGGCGACGGCGCACCATCTACAAACGACGGCATGCTGCTTTCGGCACAGCGCCTGCGCCGCAGACGCCTGCAGGGCCCAAGCACATGTGTCAACGTAGAAAACAAGGCTACAACAGCACACGTTCGGAGCACCGCAAATAAGAACACAGAATGCAGCGATTTGGTGCTATGAGCGCCCACAGCCGTCGATGACACCAGCACGCGTGCCATCTGGATCGGATGACTCGCCTGCGGACGAGTGCCGGTGTGCAGTTTCGGGGCGACGACACCCTGATAAGCGGCTGCAGTGCGGGCAATTAACCCAAGCTGAGGTGGAGACGAGCTTGCACTGGCCGCTGTAGGCCTCAGAAGCTAGCCAGCGTATGCTTGCCAGTGACCTCTGCGAGCAGGCCAGCACTAGAAACGAGGCTCGCAACGTCCGTTCCTACCTGCCTTTCGCTACACACAATGCTACGTTCCTCGAAAGAACTCGACCAGTTCGCCCACGCAAGCCCAGAGCTTCTTGCAACATGTGTGATCCCACGCTCGTGATCTGTCGCACGGCTACACTTCAGGCTCCTAACCAGCAACCGCTCTGCGTGCAGAATCAACACCTTGCGAGCTGCACAAACTGACTGCAAAGCCAGCTAGGTGTCGTTCGATATCAAGTGCACTCGCTAGCAGCTGGGCTCGTCCCTTGTGTTGGGCGACCCTTCATGCAATGCCGTGGGACATCCCGGCCGGTGTTCCCACCATAACGCTAAAGACTGGGTGTACGCGAAGCAAAGACTCTTCGACGCCGACGCAGAAGCCTGCCGAACACTCACGAGCACGAACAAGCTGCTTGAACAGAGCTGCCGTGCACAACATCGGGAACAAGGCGTGCGGCGGCAACAAAAATGAGCTCGCAACATATGATATTTGAAGCACCACGACATGCGACTATCGACCTTGGCAGCGCCTGCAATGCCTCATGTACGTGTGTCGTGATTGCATGTCCTCTTTGTTTCCACGCAGGCTTTTTTGCAAAGAGGTTTAAGGCTTGGGTGCTTAAGGCTTGGGTTCCGGGTTTGGGAAGTGCGGGGTTCTGGTTTCCACTACAGCTTGGGGAACTTTCCGTCTCGAAATGGGCTGACAGCATGAGGTTTGGTGCTATGAGAACCCACAGCCGTAGGCGACACCAGCGCGCCGAGCCATCGTGATCGGATGACTCGCCTGCGCACGAGCGCAGGTGTGCAGTTGCGGAGTGACGACACCCGGACAAGCGGCTGCAGCGCGGACAAGAGCAGATGTACCTTTGAGCCCGATCGACTGAGGTGCCTGATGCAGGGGTGAAAAGCCCACAGAATCCATGTGCTTGCCGCGAAACGAGCTGGCACTGGCCACTGTAGGCCTCAGAATAAACTAGCCAGCGTCTGCTTGTCAGCGACCGCTGCTGTGCAGCGGAGTGAGGCAGGTCACCTTGAAGTCTCATCGTCGCCGCATGACTTGCTGGCAGAAAACCAAGATGCTTAAATAGGCATCCGGTGGCATGTCCGGAAATGCAACTGATACAGTGCTGCGTTGGCATCACGCCATGCGAAACACAAAGCTCAGCAGAAGCTTGGAAATGCAGCCCGCTCACAACATGCGTGAAATGCAAGAAGTGCACATCGCGAAGCTTGTCAACTTGTAGCCACTGCGCATAACCCAAGTGGCCCAAGTGACCACCAAGCCCACGAACACAAGCGCAAGCCTGATGCATATATTTGCGGCTGCCACCACCCTTTAAGGGTGGCAGGATAGGATGGCACTTGCTCAGCTCGCGCGGCACACATGGCTCATCTGCTCTAACGGCAGGATTGCAAGCTACCGGACCGCGACAAACTTCAGCTACCAAATTGCCTGTGTGCTACACCCACGCTACGTAACATGCAAACAAAATGCTGCAATTGAAAAAGTCTTTGCAATGTCTGCTGCTCTGAAAAGAAGAAAGCACATGCCTGTTGCGGTGCATGTGCTCTGCTGCAAAACCAGAGTGGCTGCATATGCGGCATTAAACAAAACACCAATGCATGCAATGTTTCATGGTAAACACCTTTGAGCTAGCACAAACACCGAGGCTCTCGAACGCCTGGACCAGGTTGTTGCTGTCCTCGCTAAGTTGAGCCATGACCCAAGCTGGGAGACAAGCAGACCTAGAATACATGAAAGCGGGGCTCGAGCTGAAGCAGCGCCAGCGTAAGTGTTTTGCAGCACAAGCGGGCTGAATAGCTGAAGCACTTGAGCGAAAGCGAAGAAGAGAACTGAACTAATCTCTTTTAGCTGCCCGACTGTTGAACTGCGGGGGTCGAGACCATACGCACAGCTTCAGAATCACCGCCACTAGGCAACAGGGAATGCGCAGGCCTCGCAACACACAATCCTGCCTGTAGTCTGCAAACAGGTTTCGAGTGGAACTGCCGCCACCGAGTACTCCGGTCAGGCTCTGCAACGGCAGCCGGCACCTCCGCAAAGCTCCACGGGGCCTCTGGGCTGGCTGCACGCTACTGTCAACGAGGAAAAGATGCCAGCGCACTGCAAGGACTGCAGAGCTTTTCCGGCTGCAGGCAGAGCGGCCCTGACCTGGCTGATGAAGGTCGCACATGTGCCATCAGGAAGCAGAAGCAAACGTCCAGGGGATCTGCCAGGATCCGACACACCAGGCAGTTTGCACGACTTTCCTGGATCTTACCAATTAAGCTGCCAGCCAATTGGACAGATGCACATCTTCACAAGTCAGAATCGTGACCCATGCAAACTGCAGAAAACCGCATGACATGACACTGACACCGTCAGGCTTCGAAGTACCCGTGCTGGCAAGGGCCGAGTGCCGTCGCCTTGGACGTAGGAGCGCAGTGGCAGCTAACACATCACAGGAGCAACTTTTGCGGACAGCAAACAGACTCTGACAAAAGCCTTTCGGTTTACATGTAGACGGTCTGCCTGACATGTGAAACAGCACCTGGCCTGCAGGGAACTCCCATCAAGGTTGGCAATTCACGAGCATCTTTGCGGAATCACGGCACACTGTCCCTGCAACACGCAAACAGATTTAAGACGACACCTTGTAACGACGTCGCAGTAGCACAGGCATCCTCACTGATGCTCGTCCATAAGCTCAGCGCTGGGACCATGCCATTCCGGCCAGGCATGCAGCTGCACTCAGGTTGGGAGGAGACTCCAACGACCTAATCAGCTGACTCGCATAGGGGCTTTCACCAGCATTCTGAAGAATGGATGGGCTCTGGGCGCAGCAGGTGAAGCAAAGACACTTCAACACAAAAGCCTGCTGAACACTCACCAGCACGACTGTAGCGTCATGAAAATGTGGCCCGGTGACGGACAGGCACTCGCAAGCAAAGGGTAATGAACAAAGACACGGGATTACCGACATTGGCAGCGCCTGCAACGCCTCCTGCGCACTTGCGTGCGATCGGATTATTTTTTTGCTAAAGAAAAACTTAAATCAGCCGACATGTGAAATGTTGAAAGCTCAAGTAAAAATTGTTCACCGAATATTTCTAACAAGAGTGCTCACACGTCACACGCTCTCACTCTTTTTGCACAGGGGCGAACTGGGTTGCCCGGCCTTAGGCCGCGGGCTAGGCGCTCACTCAAGTGACAAGGTGTCTACTTGCCACAGACCTAACAGCACGGCTGTGCTGGTTGCCTAAGGAAGGCCAGAAGCCTTGAGAAGACGCACAGACACTGGGCTGCAAAGTGCAACACTACGCCGTGAAAGCGCTGACAGCACGGCTGTGCTGGGTGACCTGAGAGGCAAAAGCGTCGCCAGACGCACACACAAGAGAGCTGTAGCTCGCACAAGCTGTTGGCCAGCCGGTCTGAAGTGACTCGACGGGTGTGGAGGGCGGGTAGTCGAGCCACTGCCCGCTCCCACCTTGAGTAGCAATGCATCGAAGAAAATTTCTCAAGCAAAGTTTCAAGCATCTCAAGCAAACTTTCAGAAAGAAAATTAACCTACATTGC